AGACACGATAGACTTTTAGTGCTAGGTGCTATCATAATATATAGTGACGAGGGCGGAATATAAGCTGCGAAGCATGGCGTCATTTTAAGATGTGCCCATTATTGAAAAGTTTATTATACTTAGACATTGAAGTACTGGTATTCTTCAGTCCGAAAAGCTTTCGTGTAATATAAGTAACATCCACTCTTCCGTGGACGTAAAACCTTAAGCGAGATCACACGTGTAAGAAATCAACAGCTATTGATATATCCACGAAAGTAAGATGAAGTTATCAGTTCATAAGTGGTAGAGTTTTGCTATTTATAGTATGATAGAATCATAAGTTTTGAGGAATCGGTCCTTCAATTTCGTTGCGATATATAGAGGTACAAACTCTACTACAGTAACCGAATTAGAGATGTGAATTCTTCTGTCAGGATTCTCATTTCTCTAAGATGCTCGTAGAAAGCTTAATCCGAGAGGCAAAGAAGTTGTCTTTGCTTGCTCTCTCTTAGCATGGTATCTATTGGCTAATAAGAGTCTGGCTACGGTAAGGGCTAATAGAGGCGGAAGGGGTGACATGAACTTAATTAGAGGGCCTCGCGAACTTTAGATTTATTTGGCAACGAAGCTTGACCATATCTTGTTCTAAGAAAGAGGGGTCGGTGGTCTACTATAATCAAGTGTCCTGGATAGGTAGGGTATAGCTGGTTGAGTTTTAAGGTCAAGTTCGTGCCTTCCCCCTTGCTCGACTTCGAAAGATCTCTGTCCTCGCTCCTTCCCTCACATCGTTGCCTCGTCTCAACCTGCTTGACTATTTCGCGCTATCTAGGGCAAAACACAGCTCAAATTAGGAAGGAAGGTGTAATGTATCACTATTCTAGATCATAGACTACCTGATTTCGTTTTCATCTGGGGGCTCGGCAAGCCGGAGAAGATCCAGAATAAAGACCTTTACTAGTTAACCTCTTAGGTACAGAGAAACTCTTCCCTGTACAGCGCTCGGCAACTAGAATTCTATTCTATTCTGTACCCCCCCCTCTGGAATATTCCATTCTATTTATAAGATGGTCTAGAATATTCTATTCCATACCCCCTATTCTACTAGAATTCCATGGAACTGAATTACATAACCTGGGGAAAAGTCCGGCCGCCCCGGTATACTAATAGGAAGCCTAGATTCGGTAAATAGTATTAGTAGCAAGAAGGTTAGGTAAATTATACACCTTTAATATTAGGGTATAGGTTTTAAAGTAATTAAGCGACTACGTAGTAACAAAGAGATTAGCAGACTAAAGTCATTTTAGTACAGGTCTAGTTAATTAATATTTACTCCTATTAAATTTAGTACTGTTCTCTAATTAGTTAGAATAGCCTCTAGAATTCCATGGAATAGGTTCCATTTGCCGAGCGCTGTCCCTGTGGATTATCAGCGACCTCTGCTGTAGCCTATGTCGAAGTTGTTGTTTCTTCAATCTCATCGCGGCTGATCTTGGACCCGTTGCACGTGATCCTCCTCGTCAGTTATCCGATGTTTATCATAGGTACGTTAGCCCCTATCTCCGCTTCTTACAACATCCCTTGCATGAGGGCGAACTGCGAAGTGCAACAGAACGCCCTCTTGAAGTTTTGGTTGGTTGGTTAATTCCATTTTCCTATTTACCCTGTTGCCGGTGACATCATGACGCCCTGGGATCGTTCTTCCACCAGTCACAGCAAATTCATTTATATTACATGCGAGAGGGTGTTCTACGTGGACAAATTGGACAGTATACTCGATATATCGTGATGCACAGGTGGTGTTGGTGATATCAGTCAGTTGGGATTAAATTTTACGGTTAGTTCTGAGACTGTAAGGTAGGGTTACTGTTTGATGCATGAGTGCCCAATGCATAGTTTAGTTCATACATGTAGAGACTAGTACATAAAACTTATGACGAGGACTTCCCCGGCTAACAGATGTGATTTAGCAATTTATTGACTTCCGAGTAGGTACAGTACTCGTATGTTGTCGGGTTGCAGAGCCCACCTTATCTACCCCGCAGTTGCAAGTACCCATTGTACCTAGACGAGCTATTACTCCTGTTTGATCAATGGTCCGTCCCCAAACCCAACGCCAAAAATCAATAACAAAGCAAAATGGGCATCAACAATAACAGATCTCCCGGTAGTCAAACATGAATCGTGTTTCTGTAAATCCAATTTAGTTTTTGCCCAAGTCATCTTATGTTGAGCCTACCATCGCTTTATGACGCCCATCACATGAGCCAAGCCTCTTCCATCATTCATGGGACCCGCTACTTTCTGCAACATAGTCTGGGCGAAGGATGGTTGTCTGGGGGGTATGACAGGTGCTAGGATTTTACCCCAGCAAAACGTGATAAGGGCCATGTTCCCCGCTGAGAGAGCCAGGTAGTAGGTTTGGATTATGGGTCGCATTTTTGGAGAGCGGGGGTGAGGCGCAGGGTTATCTTGTGATGATGAGGATGTTTTGATGCGTCGACAAGTGCGGAACTTTCCTAATTGTATTTTGGTGTGGATGTAAGTATTGCATCGTGAGAATGGAATGGATAAAGTATAGATATGAGAATTTTATTTAGACGGAAGGTGCGACCAACGATTTGTCGGATTGAGTGTGAATGGTACGCTACTTAGGGCGCAAGAACGGCGTAGGTGTGGTGTGCAAGGGGTATGCTACACCTCGTCCCCATATTTATAAGGCTATTCTTGCCACTCTCAGGGAAGGGCAGCAGGGCAGGTACAGCAGCTTGCAAACTTCTGCTGCAAACTGCAAGCTTCAAGTTACCAAGTCTAAGTACTTCTAGGTACTGTACTTCCTGCTCAAACTGTGGTGTCGAATTAATTGGCCAAATAACCAACCAGTTGTTGCACCCAATTGTCGGAGGTAAGATACAATTCTCTTACACCGCTTCCCTGAGTGCTTCTTGTCCTGAGCTGAGACATGACTCCATGAGTGGGGATACAGTACCTCAGGTATTTCTTAAATTGTCTTAGCTGATCTTAGTTGAACTGGTTTTCAAACTGTGAAGTAATAAGAATTGTGTTTTCCGTGGCCAAGGTGGGAATAATGGCTGATTTGATTCGATGCCTCGAGAGCTTGTCCCAATATTTTTCAAACAATTCCCATAGTAGGAATAAATATGTTTTGATAAGCTTCGAATAGGTGTGTTTTTGATTGGTGGAAGCTCCTCCAAAACCTCCTTGAACTTTTATTGGCCATTCATATTTACCCAAGTTCTTGAATTGCCGAAAAGGAGGAAGCGATTCCTTTTTCCTCGGATTTTAATAAAAGCTTCATCAAAAGGTTGTCACGTTGTTTGTAAAATTCATGCGATCTTCATCAATAATGTTTTAGATCAGCAGTTAGCCACAAAGCCAAGATTGATATTCGTCTAAAGAAACCTGAAGTCTGTGGAAGTGTATCACGTGGGATTTTCTCAATGACGTATGAAGTTTTATCTTGTCAAAACTTCCATGAGCCCGCTAGATGCGTGGAAAGGTCAGGCTTCAAGATTTCGATGGACACTCACTCGTGAGTTAGGGCAAACTAGGAAATAATTCGATGTGCGTCTGGAATGCCCTCGAAGAAAACAAAAGCAACGCAGGGCAAGGGAACGCTGAGCAACTTTCTGCGGTCTCCATGCAGCGCTACAATCGAATACCCTGTTCCAAAGAATACGACGTATTGAAGTCTATTTTTTCCTCGACCGCACATGGGAAAAGGTAAAAAGTTCGGTATGTACACACGGCGCTTAGGAGGAAACGAGAGTCCGCCTTTTCAAGAACATCAAATAGAGATGAAGTTCCAGTTATCCCCGTCTACTCCGCGTTATCAATCTCGTTCTCTCCGGGACCTTCCAAAATGATGATGAAAGAAGTTTGTCGGCACTCACTTACATATACTTTTCCCAGCGCGGGCTGTGGATGGTGTTGTTGAAATAAGACCGCGGAAATTCGCCAAGGCGCAAGGATCTTGCTCGAAAGAGATAACGGTCGATATTCAAACAACAGCTGGCATGCATTTACACCGACAGTAAGCACTAATCTTCCTATTCATTCAGAGTATAATAAAATATGTAATAAGATAACTTATCAAAACTTATACGCGGTGATGTGTGCTGTTCTCTTGTCCCGAAAAAGCTTTTCTACAGCCGATAAGGAAATCTCCCCGAAACTTCAGTTTGATACTAGAACTTTCCATGACAAGTGTTAAGCTCGGGATACAATTAATATCGCAGGAAGACGCACTGACTATTAGGGTCTTCCATCTAAACTTACCACACCTGAGCCTCTCTGCCAAGCTATCAAATCAGATCGTACGTGAAAGAATGGAGACACAAGGCCTGACGGTGTCACATGATTGGTAAGTTCTTGTGGGCTCGCTTGCAGCCCTGGCACTTCTAACGACTTCCGGGATGTGGTGTGGCAACAGCCCCGTTTTCATATGCCACAAACCCGGGTCATAGTAGATCACTGAATGCTGATTAGAGCAGGGATCATTCGTGGGAAATGTTTATTTACTGATAGGGATCACCGAAAACGAGTAAGTTCTGATTAGGTAGATACCTCAGAACTGAGCTCCTCTTCTGGAAGGAGGATCCAATGAGATATGGCCTGAAAACTAGATCTTTTCCTAGCATGACTCCCACTGCAAACGGCATTTGTGTGATCGGTAGTCAGCAGCAACAACGAGACTAGGAAGATTAAAACTCAGCCCCCCATTAAGCAAAAGCCTCCCAGTCCGAGTCAAAGCACTTCTACCAATAATCGAGTTACGATCAACTGGGTTAGAGCTGGAAAAGGAGGGGCCAAGAGGTCCCAAATCCCCATGTGGCTTTATCCATGAGCTCGGAGAAGACGAGAGACGTCTACACCGCACGCTCGGACAGTAGATGGGCAGTTGATGATTGGTGAAAATGAGAGCTGGGCAGGCGTCGTAAGGCCAGCTAATGGCCATGACGGCATAGCGTTATATGGGTGGGGACGGTTTGGCGGGGAAGAGGGGAGGCCTGCACTTGATGAGTGCCAAGGCCAAGGGCCCTTCTCATACCATTGGGAGCTGCCCCCTGAGGGTATAAAGAACCCTCTTCCTCCCATTATGAAGCCTTTTTATTGTCAAAGAAGCTTCACAAGACTCTACTACAACTTCACGATACAGAAGCATAAAGAAACAGCCCACCACATTCCCACACAATCAATACATACAACACTATTAACATGACTTCAGCACTCGCGCCGCAAATCATTTTTGACAATTCACAGATTCGTGAGTTATGCCGCATCGCAGTATCCCAATAACGACCTACTAACATCTTCTGGCAGGTCGATTTTCAACCTCCGCTTCCTCCATCAAATCTGGAAGGTCCAGATCCTCTGGACAAAACTCACGACGAGGCTCTTTCGTCAACGCTGACGGCGAGTTCGATTCCGATGAGGAGCATCCACAAGACTGGTCTGTAGAGACTAAAGAAGGGGATACCTGGGCTGCACGAGAACTCCGCCGCAAATCTATCTGGGCAAAGACCGATCACAACTCTCCTCTAGCTGAACAACCAAAGGAAGGGCGCAACGGCTCTATTCTCTCCTTGTGGCAGCCCGGAAAGGACGAGAATGGTGCAGACATTCTTCTGCACGACGACGAGAACGCGATCGATGATGCTCCACTAAGCCCCATCAGTAGAGGAAGTGTCAATGGGGGACTGAGCATTCCTGGCAGTAGAAGAGGGACTGGCAATACACAGGACAGACGACCCAGTATCCTTGGCTTGTGGAAAACGGGCAAAGATGCGGATGGCAAAGCGATCATCATGCACGACGACGAAGAGTGGCAGCACGATCCAAAACCAGAAGTTTTTGAGCCAATTCCAGAGCCACCAAAGCCTGTCGCCCTTGAAGATGCCACGCCTGAGGAGAAAGAGGAGCTTCGAAAGATGTTGGAAAACATGAGAAAGCAAGCTAAATGAGTTTGAACATATTGGCGATATGATAATGGTTGGAAATATGTTTGAGAGTTGATTTTGTGCCCATTCTATCTACACATTCTTGTAATAGGGTTGGAAACTGTTTCTTTTTTTCTCTTTGGGGTTTATACGATACGATACCATCTCATCTCGAATGACATACACTGCATGCTAGAGAGATCCTCGGATGGATATATAGCAATATGGCAAAGTAAATAAAGCAATTTTTAATGAGTTCAGGAACCTGATCTCATACGCGCGTACCATTTAGTAACATGTGAACAGAACCATTCTAGTAGTCAGAGACACAACAGTTTGAGCCCAAGGACAAAATGGATATTCCCAAAGCACTGGCTACTGGGTTTGCATGAGATCTCGAAACTCGGTTTTTTCGGAGTTGTTTGCCTTTTTTAGCTCAAATTCCATACCGTAATTTGGCCCGGGCGCGAACCCGCCTTCCGAATACTGTAGTGGATCACGCGTGGATACGCCGCATACTACTTGATCTCACGAGCTGCGACTTACAGTATTCGACCGTTACACTCGTAACAACCTCGTCTACTTCGTATTGAAAGCCCGGATAGAGGTGGTGATGGTTGGCGCGTGTCTTCGAGAAGAGGGCACGCGCATTCACCAAGATCTGAACACAAATATCCTCAAGCCCAGTGACTGCGGAAAGTGGAAAGTCTGCAACCCGCTTGGGTTCATCATGGCGACTCCTTTTTATATTGGAGAATTCCTATATCAAAAGATTGATTATTTGCACTTGCAATATCGCGTCAATACGGAATGGTTGTGGTCGTCACATACCGCGGAGAGGGGGATGTGTGATTCTGTAAATGATATAGCACTTGCGCTGTGACAGATTGGAAGTTACTTTCATTGTTGCGTGTGCGCGACTTCTTGTTTGGTTGCAAGTTTCTTGCGTGTTATGCTCTTTTCCTGAAGCGCTAGTCTTGACCTCCCCACTTTTCTTTTCACTTACTCGTATTGATCCAGGATGCACAATCTTCATTGCATTATGTTGGCTACGCAACCAGACCTATCTCTATTCTACATCAAAACCTTGCAGATAATCCTAACCCTAAACCCTCTCACAGGGTAGTGGGTATCGTTTTTATGATCTTCTTACTTACCTGGTTTTTTGCCCTCTCGTACAATAGGTAAATAACAGGTGTATCCACTTCTGTAATAGATCCAAATAGTTCTTGATACAAACCCGCAAACAACACTACTTCCATACCACCATCTACTGTAGTAATGAGTCAAGTACTGCAAAACCAAAAGAAAAGCCACAACCCCCCTGTTCTCCTACACTCAACTTCGATCACAGCTCTATCTTTGAGATAGGCCAGAGCCGTCCTCCAATCTTTTGACCACGTGTGAATCCTCTCAATTTTCTTCTGCCCAAAGCTGGCCGGATAGTCCATCAACAGGTGTGGAATACTGACGCCTTTCGGACTCCCCACGATTGATTGGCAAGTTTCCACTTCTTTTGGATCAGGAGATTCAGGATTGAAGGTGCCTTTCCAGTTGAAAACTTTGTCTGGGTGATGGAGATGCGCTTCGTTGATGCGTTGTTTTGTACTGCGGTTGCTGATGGAATCCATAAGCATATATCTGATATCCGGAACATTATCAGAATATACGTTCTTCATGACTTGATAGAGTAGCTCGCTCCAATGCTCAATTTTGGCGTTCGAAGAAGCGATATTGTTTTCTCTCATGTTGTTGAATACTACGATAATAACTCCATCGGATCCTGATTGGGAAAAATAGCTCATGCCTACTAAGCTCTTCTTCGTCTCATTCATTTCGTCGGCTGACGTAGAGGATTCATCGGAATTGGCGTACACAGTTGCGCGTGAGAAGAGCATATCTTTATCCAGGTTCAAATCTTCGAAAGCGGTCATTATGCATTCAAAACCAGCGCTTCCACCTGTGAGGGGATTTTCTTCATCCCTAAACTTGGAACGAGTACTCGTGTATCCACTGTATCCACCAAGCTGGAGAAAGGCTCTTGATATGGCGGCATCCCTGACGTTGTTTGGATTGTTTTTCAGCTCACTGAGTCTTCGGCTTAGAGCGCACAAGAGCCTTTGACCAGATTCAATACAACCTGTCCGGGATTTGACAAGCCCATATGGGTTTTCGTCTTCGGGCTCTTCTGGGAGCGAATGATCTGAATCTGACACGGGGAAATCTCTATCATTATTTGGTTCAAATGAGCTTGTCATGTTTCTGGCTTTGAAGTCTGTAACATGGGATCATTTACAGCCACCCGTAATTTGAAAGTGCAGATCAGGCGGGTTTTCATGGTGTCTGGAGCCCTGAAGTTATTTGCAAGTCTTATCAAACTGGAATAATTGCTGGCTTTGATCACACTCGTACACATTTGGCTCAACGTTCCTGCATAAAGATCGACAATCCTCGCACCAACGAGCTAGTGGTGAATAGAGTAAAGAGGAAATACCTCCTGACAATATGTCAGAAGCTTCTTGACCGTGATCAGGGTATTCACCTTGAAGTAGCAATCAATTGTCTGTTTCTTCTACAGAGACTTTGGCAAGCCATGCTCTCTTGGATTCCCAACTGAGAGTACATAGGTGCTAAAAGCTTTTAGATTCAGCTAAATCGCCAAGGAGTGTCTCTACATCCGAATGGTTTTGTTGTAAGATCACTTCAAAGTTACTAGCTGCTTTCTTCCAGAATGTGGTTGCATTTAAAATACCGAATATCACCCCTGTGTTTTGATAAAATGAATTTGTGGTCTAACAGGGCATCCCGTAACATCTTGGTTCTCATGTTTCTATTTGCTGTTTATAGCATAGACTAATGACTTATACCCTCAAACATACAAATAAAGATCCACTGTAACACAGAACTCTGTGCATTTCACGCACGATAAATACTAATATCAATCTCATGAAATTTACCAAGTAGGTCACGAGGCTCATATTTACAGCTCAGACTACGCCTCAAATCTGATGCGCTATGACTAGGGCTAAAGGCGTGTGACAGTTTTTGATTTAGTGAATAAGGGTTCGCTTAGCGAAGTTGCGGGTGTACCCTTCCGTAGATAGACAAATACCTAAGGAGTGCGAAGAGCGTCTCTGTTCCCTCCTTGCGAACAATCTATTCCTTGATCCCCACCATAACATATTGTTCGCCAGCTTTTTTACTCGTACAGCGTGCACATCGTCGCTGTACCTATTGCCCTTGAAATACCTTTGCCATCGCCTATCGCCCATCGCCCATCGCCCATCGCCCTTGCCACTCGAGCTCATCATGCCTGTATTCACAGTTGAAGAACTCCAAGCTGCCGTTGATAATGGTACGCTTGGAACTTTCATCACTGATAACAACGACACCTTTCAGCAAGGCTTACGTGACCTGCTCTCGCTCTATAATCAAACCACCATCGAGAAGAACACTGCAGAACAAGCACAGCACATCGCTGAGCAAGCTCAACAAGCCACTGAAGCAGATGCTCTATAAGACGCCAACGAGTACAATCGACAAGTCACTGAGTTCAACAACCGTATTGCGACTCTCAACACTGAGATCCAACGTCTTCAACACCTCCAAGCTACTCCTACTCCTACTAGTAACCCTCAAATCAACGAGTTACGAAACCAAATCGAACAACTTCGAATTCACCAGAATGCCCCTGCTCCACCTATCCGATCCGTCCCCCACGCAGAACCGGCCAAGTTTGGCGGCACCCGTAGATCCGCTATCGAGCTACGATCATATATTATCGACCTCAAAGTCAAGCTTCGCACTAATGCTGACTGGTTCCCAACTGAGCTAGAACAAATGACTTATGTCCTATCAACCCTAGAGGGAGAGGCACGTAAGCACATCGACCCTCACCTCAACGACGCCGGCGAGTTTACTACTTTGAACTCTGTAGAAAGTATGCTAGACAACCTCCGTAACACATTTGGCAACAAGTTTAGTCGCGAGGAGGCTTTTGCCAAGCTCCAAAAGGAGAAGCAGGGCCACCGACCAGCTTCTGAATTCCTAGCGTCCTACCTGTCACTAGCTACTACTGCTAACTCTACTGGATTCGACTGTACCCAGAGACTCGTCCTTGCTATCCACCCCTCTATTCGGGACCGTATCCTTTCAGACCCTCGCTACACCTCGGCCATTGAACTTAACGCCTTAGCTGACCTGATTCGAGAGAAAGACAAAATCAACCGAGCTGTCCACGGCACTCAGTACTTTAAGAGTAACTCTGGCCTCTTCAATGCTACTCCACACACTCTAGCGTCTACTTCCTCACCCTCTGACCCTGATGTAATGGACCTGGATGCTATAAAGGTTGGAGGAAAGTATGTCTGGACTTGGAAGGATGTTGAGGACAAGACCTGGGCCAAGACCCCTGAGTTGAAGGCCGCCCGCAAGAAATTCCAAATTGAGCACAATCTCTGCCACTACTGTGACGAAAAGACACATAGTCTTCAGGGTTGCGACAAGTTGAAGGAAGCTCGCCGCCGGAAGGAGGAGCGTGAGAAGGGAAAGAGTAAGGATGAGGGAAAAGCCTAGTCTCTGTCAATAGTCGCTGCCAGAGACATCTGGAAGTCGGAGGAAGGCTTTGATGTTGTCGTCACTAGAGGAAAGGCAGAGAGAAAGTGTGATGGAGGTTCCTTGTAAATTAGTTAGTACTAATAATACAAAACCTTCT